CCAGTTATATTAGGCTCTCTGTGTTACAGTATATGTGCACTTGCCTTCTTGTATAGCAGGAGCAGGAAATAGTAAGGCTCCGCTGGGACTTGGAATCACAATTAAAATACACTTTATTGGTTAAAAACAATAAACATTAATAAATATATCAAAGTGCTAGTGATACCAATCCACAGTCTTGGGTCCTTCCTCTTTCTCAGAGATGCGTTTCGCAGGACGGCTTTATCAATCGGGACGTCTGTTTCCTGTCAGATCTTTGTTTATATATGTATAGACTTCTTATGATTGGTCGCCACGCTTCTTCGGCGGGCAATCACTGGGCTGACATTCACGGGTGTGTATATTTGCAGCTGTTCCCCATGGCTGATTTACCCAAGACCGGAAGTGACGTACGGACCAGACGTAACATCATGCTGATCCGCCACCTTGAATGTGTCCACAGTGTCATTTCCTGCGAAGTCCGTGTGGACATCTTTAATATGGGCAGTTCTCTTGTAGGGTAAATTCAATAACATTCATCAACTGCTGGCAATATAGTGCACAGTTCTTTTGGCGATTAAAAGGCACATATACTCTAACACCAAGTATAACTGGCTCCCCAGAAGGTGAGTAATCACGTGCACTTGGGTTCTATATTCTACCTCAGCAATTTTACACTAGGATATTTTGACTCTCCTTTTTGTCTCCATATTGAGGACGATTTGGTCAAGAATCCAGAGAGGGTTTTGGTATTACCCAATATACCTCCGCCTAAGAGATTTTTAGTCTATCCATATGTGGCTCTATACCATGTGAGTGTGGTCCATATCCCTTCACATATCCTTCTGGTGGACTTGATATACTTCACAATTTTGCATTGTTTCCTCTTTTCTAGAGAATGTTATTATTCTACACCTTCCCCAGATTCGAGTGGGGTAAGTGTATCCTATTCTAGTGTTCCACTAAGTAGAAGTTTTGGTGGCATGTTGCACCAGGTTCACTTGTTTGATTTATAGGAAGTATTTAGGAAGGATCTGTAAGTAGCATGCAGGGAGGTGTGACTAGAGCTGCATAAACAAAGTGATTTAACTCCTAAATAGCAGATAATTGAGCATTTTGATTGCAGGGACATGACCTATACACCAAAACTGATTCATTAAGTTAAGTTTGTTTTGGTGACTAGTGTTCCTTTAAGAATATACTATAAACATATTTATGAAACCAAGTATGTGGATTAATCTCTTAATAGCGGGCATTAGGTTGCTAAGAGTAGGGCCTGCCAAAAATGGGATGCATTGAAGTTGTGGCAGGCTTATGCAATGTTTGATCATATACTGTAACTAAAATTATATATATATATATATATATATATATATATATATATATATATATATATATATATATATATATATAGGGGGAGAGAAATATATATATATTCACTGTCTGGTATCCCTAGTATGATGTGGTGTGGCATAAGGATGCATAGCTCCACTTCTGCAATTGGGGCAGTGCTGCAGAAGACAGATAACCTTCACTAAAATTGTGAGTAAACTGTATAGTAATGGTGCACGACCATATAGCCCCAGAGTCTAGTTACAATAGCCTCTTCAATTTAAGAGTTTATAGTGAATAATTTGTCTTCCACGTTAGAATCAGTGTAGGACCTACTGATATTGTGGTACTGTTAAGTACTGGTGGGCATAACACAATATGCACACAATATAGCCATATGGTGGAACTGAATCCCCACATTTGTTTGCTGAGATAGGCGATTTTAAAGGGATCTCAACAAACCCGTTTTCCGGGCACTATAGGTTTATAGGTTTAATAGGTCCCCACCTCCCTCGCGGCTAAAATCCATTCAGCCACATACATGAAGAGTCAGGCTCCGCACACGCTGAAGTTGGCAGGGGAGACCTAATGCAATGCTTTCCTATGGGGGAAATTTGACTCTGGAGGTCCATGAGGATGTACAGCACCAGATAACAGACCAAAAGTCAGTTTGGATTCCGGAAGCGTTTCCAGTGCTGTCTGGTAGACAGCCACTGAGGGCAGATTTAGAGATGCAAAGTAAACATTGCAGTTCTCTGGAACTGCAATGTTTTACATTGCAGCACGAAGTGCAAAAGGTTCACAGCACCCAGAGTACTTCAATTAGCTGAAGTGGTCTGGGAGCCTACAGTGTCCCTTTAAGTAGCCTTATGAAATGTAATGTATTTTTGTGTGTGTGCGGTTTCTTAATCTGTATTACGATAAGGAGGAACAGGCATATTTACAAACCATACAACATAATTGCTTTGATTAGTTCATATGCAGTCAAATGAAGTGGTCAGTAGAAGAATGAATGAAACGGTGTGCTAAGCACAAGTTTATATCAAGGTCAGAATCCATATTCCTAATACAACTCTTATGTGCTTGCATCATCCTATGTAAGTGTACATGGGGCAACACGACCTGTACAGATAATCTTGGGCATTCAACATGCCATTTGGTAACAAAACAGCCTTGAAGTATGTTTGAATTTACGTCAAACAACTGTGCTTGTGCATTGGTATGTTTAAGAGTAGATTGTAATGCATTTTGTCAAAAGGAACAATACACTAGAGTAAATCAATTCCTCTCTTTTTTTAACCTTTCAAAAATGTATAATTGCATATATTTAGAACAGGTATTTATTGAATGATTAATAAATAAAAAATTTATGGATTTAAACTGGTATTGACTCCATTTACAGTGCATTAATGTAAGTTTTATTTCTATTGAATAACCCCCTACAAAAAGCATTGTCTTCAAACCTTGCCTGGTTAGGTCACCCAAACAGTATGGAAAATTGCCAATAGGTAACAAGTAGCAAGCAATAGAACAAAAAATAATTTCTGCCTCTAAAGAGTTTTGCCATTTTTTGGTCATAAAACAAGAACTTAATCTAACTACTCATCAGACAAAGTTACTTACCAGTTGTAGAGCCAGGCACAGCAGGCTTGATATCTGCTGATTGCGGCAGCGAATTTCCAGCGGTTTTGTATATGGTCATGATCTGGTTTTTTGTCTCTTGCTTCTTGTGTTTTTTGCCCATGTAATGTTGCTGTGACATCTGTGGGTTGTTAAATGTGGCACGGCAAAGTTTGCAAAACTTCTCAGGGTCATCTTCATCCACTTTGTCAACTTTCGCAGCAGGATTAGGGGTGGTGGGTTTTGCAACCGGAGTCACGACTGGTTTTGCAGCCTTCTTAGCTGGCATAACTAAGAACAACCAAAATTAAGAAAAAAAAATTGCATATACACACACACACACTACAGGAGGAGTCAAAATTAGGGAACTAGACTCTGGCTTGTTCAACAATGATAATAATGGACCAGTCCATCACTTGAAACAAAGGCAAACCTTCCTCAACAGATGGCAGAAGTCTGGTCGGAGTATTCTTTTAAAAATCTTACTTTTGACTCATTCGGTTCTAACATGCTAAACCGTGTTAGTCTACTTTTTGAACAAGCAACCTTACTCTACCTTCAGGTACTCCCTGCATCTTCAGCTTCAAATTCTTTGCATGAGTTTTTCCTTGATAATGGGACTCAGCAACTACAGGAGAAGAAAATGTCATGTTGCAAACTGGGCAGCACTTATTTCTATCGTCGTCATCGCTGCTTTCCGTTGCCTATAATATGGAGAAAATATTTTATTAATTTGTTGTACTTTGGATATATACAATAGAATCAACTCAGTGAAAGCAATCAAAAACAAGCTAAAGATTCATTACAGATAAAAACCAATCACACTAACAATTACTGCAGCCACTGCTTTCTACAACAAAAGTAGACACTGAGGTAACAAGGTAAAAAAAATCCTAGGGGATGTCTTATAAAGCAAGAACAAGATGGGAGTTCTGGTTGACAGCATGTGAACAAATTTTACCGTAACAGCAGGCTTCATCCTCTTTGCTGGAGTATAATCTTCCCCTTGCTGACCGGACCTGTACCTGCGCACTTTGTTTGCATGTTTCTTGCTCTGTAAAAGAAAAATGTTCAATTTTTCTCAGACATGTCAATTTACACATGATGTCAACTACAATAAGTTGGTTTAATTTGTGCGGTACCTAAACTGTAAAGTTCTTTTTATTTTTAGAAAAATATATATTTTATTCTAAAACACAAATGGCCTGACTTGTGCATAAACGTAGAACACAACAGCAATTTAGAACTCCAAGAACCAAAAAATATAAATGTACAGTGTTTGCAGAAAGATTGTATAGTATAAGGAAATTTATGCCATCCTTTTGTCTTGCATACATATGTTTATACACATTTACAAAAACAAAAAAAATACGTAAAAACACTGACTATGGGTAAAAGTAAACCATATAGGATCCTGTAAAATATGGGGGCCCGTATGCTACTGTCACCGTTCGCAATGTAAATTCACTGACTAAAAGCCATACAAAATCACTTATGTGATTGCAGAAGTAAATTATACTCTATCCTGGAGAAGTGGCTTTAGCTGCTGTCAGGGTTAGAGGTGCATTTAACCCAGCAATGTAAACATTGCAGTGCCTATGTTTTACATTGCAGGGTTAAAACTACAGAGCCACTGCACCCAGACCACTTCAAGATAAAGAGATCTGTGAGTTTAATCCTTTAAATTTGGTTTGCAAAATAAAACCCAATGTAGTTATAAATACATTAGTTTAACATGAAAGGGTTTAGAGTATAAAGGTCAAGGGTGTTAAAAAGTTTAACAAAACATTAATTAGCAATATAGACTCAAATGGACACCATTAGCACCAGAACCACAACAGTCCCTGCAGCCTCAGCAGTGTCTTGCATTTTCTGTGAAATTGCTCCCTAAATACATCTCCTGTGGCTGTCACGAAGCATTAGACTCTGAATACACACCTCTACAAGGATATGCTGATTGGAATGGTGTGACTGGGTCTACTGTGCATGTGTTGCAATGCTTCTCTATGGTTAAGTATTGTCTGCAATCAGTAACGTTTATCTCAGCTATGGACGTGGGACTAAAAGATACCGTATATACTCGAGTAAAGGTAGAGTTTTTTTAAGACATTTTTTGTGCTGAAAACCCCCGACTCGACTTATACTCGAGTCAATGTCTGTATTATGGCAACTTACATTGCCATAATACAGATCAGGACCGCCGGGCTCATTACAAGCCCGGCGGTACTGTTGGGGGCTGTCAGCGAGCTGTTACTTACTTTCACAGCAGCTCCTGTCAGCTCCCTTCTCTCTCCTCGGTCAGGTCCCGTCTCCTCCAGTGTAAGTCTCGCGGCCGCGCGGTAACCTGTGGCAACGCTCTGACCACACGGCTCTCGCGAGACTTACACTGGAAGAGACGGGAGCTGACCGAGGAGAGAGAAGGGAGCTGACAGGAGCTGCTGTGAAGGTAACAGCTCGCTGCCAGCCCCCCTCCTACACAGCCAATGCCACTGGACCACCAGGGAATGAGAGCCCCCCTCCCTGGCCATCTAACAAGCAGGGGGATGAAAAAAAATAAAAAAAATTTAAATAAAAAAAATAAAATTATAATATTAAAAAAAATAATATAAATTTTTTTTTTTTTTTTAAATAATAAAAAAATAAAAAAATGCCCACCCCCCCACCAAGGCTCTGCATCTCACACACACACTGTAAATAAATATTCAATTAATATAATTTTTGGGGGATATAATTTTATTTAGAAATTTACCAGTAGCTGCTGCATTTCCCACCCTAGTCTTATACTCGAGTCAATAAGTTTTCCCAGTTTTTTGGGGTAAAATTAGGGGTTTCGACTTATACTCGGGTCGTCTTATACGGTATATAAAAAGATATATATATATATATATATATATATATATATATATATATATATATAATAAAATTTTTAAAAATAAATATATATAAAAAATTATTTATTATTTAAGTGCTTGGAGGGGCAGGGGTTAATTAATTCTATCTTAAAGGAACAGTGTAGTCTTGTTAACTTGTGTAGCTTTAGTGATATTAAGAAGAAAAAAATTACTTGGGGAAACTGGGGATTCCAGGCAGGTATCAATTCATTAGAAAAGTTGGCTGTAGTATTTATGGTGCTTATGAGTGCCATTTTAACCAACATAACACAACTAGCAATTAATTGAAGAAACAGTTTCCTATTTATAGAAATATTAAATTTGAAATACCTGGTAATGTGCGAGCTTCTGAGACTCCGAAATCAGAGCAGCACAGCATACTTTACATTGAGTGTCAGAGAATATATCGCTATTTTCCTGGATGAGGCGATCAACTACAAGAAATAAAAGTACGATAAGTTACATGACGTTCACAAATTACAAAGTGAATTTTAAGTTTATGGCCAGAGTAGCAAAACGGAAAGCATAGCTCATTTAGTGATTTGTTCCAGTTCCGCTGTTTGAATACTCTATATTGTGAATAATTGTTATTTTAACAGCAAAATGCAAACATAATGTATACTAGATCCAAAAACAACTAAAAGAAATGTCTATATACAATGTATTATAATATATGTACACACATTTATTTTGAAGTAACTATGTAGAATATCAATATACGGACCGCACTACTTTGCAATGGAAATGTTTCTAGCCAGTATTCTCAGAATAACATTCGCTTTTTACAGTTAACATCAGCCATTCACGGAACAGCACAAGGTTATTTACCAATCATAAATCTGTATGAGCAGCTACAAGTTGCACAGTTCAGTAATTGACAGATAACCTCCCCCATCTTTCATAGAAGATCGGATATGGGCAAATAAAGGTAACACTCCACTGCCCAAACGGTCAAAAAAAAAAAGTAGAAATCCATTCATCGGGGGTTCATCTTAAAAGAGCGTGCAAAAGTTACAGTGGCCTTTGCCAACCCCCGCCACCCCCCCTTTTCCTCAGAAGAGACCAACACCATGAAATTGCCTAAATGAAGCACAAATAAAGAAAATAAAAAGCACATCCCTACATAGAAACACATTTAGTATATAACAGGATCACACAAGGCCATATACATGCACCTTGGGTCAGACAAAGTTTGAATTTCACAGTTAGTCGGTATGATGATGTCCCTGCATTGTGCAGGGAGTGAAGCAGGGAAGACCATAGAGCAGGGGTTCCCAATTATTTTTTTTCTTGTGTAATCATCTGACATAGTTCTCCAATATCGTCGAACTTCCCAAAAACATTTTAATTAACAGAGCATAATGTTTTGTTTTGTTTTTTCAAAATTCTACAGATGGTAAACAGCTTATGTTTCTTAGGAGCAGGTGTCCTATGTGTAGAGTTGGTGTTAGCATCTTACAACAGGGGTGTGTTTGTATGTTATGCTTGTATTTATGTGGTGTGTTGTATTTGTGTGGATGTAGTGTTGAATTTTAAATGTGCATGTACATTTCTGTGTACTACTGGTGTTTGAGTGAAGGGTGTGTTTGAATGTCTGTATATAATTTTAGAGTTCGTGTTCAGGGGTGTCTTTGTATGTCATGTTTGTGTTCGTGTGATTCAGGCCGACATTTTGTACATTTAAAGTTTTAAAAAGGAAAACAATTTGTACATACATCGCATTAACTGAACATGCTGACAGCACACTCCAATCACTTTCAGGCAGCCAGTTCATACTGGGATTATCGAGATCAAAGCATGTTACTGATAGAAGTGTGTTTGCTGAAGACAATCACATGCCTATTACTCTAAGACAGTCCAGTAAATTACAGTAGATTATTCAGTCTCATCTCCCTGCCTTCATATGAGCTATGCATGTGGGGACTCAGAGTGAGGAGTGACATGAGGCTGCAAGTGGCACCTAATTGGCTGGCGGCTGGAGTTTCGGGAGGTAGAAGACGGCGAAGACAAACCAATTATTGGAAATATGCAGAATAGCGACTCTAATAATTGGTCTATCCCTACTATAGAGGTTTTCAAACATTGTCTGACCCAAAGATCCCTGGTCATATACTAAAAGTATGGATAAGTTTCTCACTTATTTTTCTCATATACTTCATTTAACACAGAATGCATTTTCTTTCAAAACTTTAAGAAAAGATAATAATATTAAAAAGTAAGTGTTGAGGTGACAGTTGTCCTTTAAATGGACACAGATCACTTTGCAATTAAAAAAAAAAAAAACAGCAAACACTTTTAAACTAATATACTAACCAAAATAAAGCAAGAAAAATGTTGAAAAGCGTGTAATAGAAACATTTATAAACTTACTATAAACTTGATCAGATTGCATTGTTGTGCATTCCTCTCAACTGGGAGAGAAAGTGAGGACTTGTATTATGTCTAAACACCACACATGTACCAAGTGGCTGCAGATGAGACAGGATAATAGTGTCAGGAGAATCTAGGTATTTGTCAAAGTATTTGAAAAAACTTGAGAGTTTTTGTTTACTTTTAGAGTGCCCATTAAACTTTTCCTGCCTGCTAAGCTATTGCTCCCCCTCTCAAGATGTTATGCTTATACTTTCCTTAACCCCTTAAGACTGGAAGGCGTACAATTACTCCCAGGGAGGACCTCACAATCACATGGCCGGGTAGGCTGCCTTCTGCATTGCCAGCAGGGGGCCTGCTTATAATGACAGGTGGCCCCCCTGCTGGCTGAAAATAATAAAATAAATGAAAAAAAGTGTAAAAAATAAAATAAAAAAAGTATACTTAGATCATATCTATATATACACACACACATATATATATATATATATATATAGTTATATATAATATAAAATTAAATATGAAAATACGTTAAAATAAAAAAAATTAAATATATAGATGTGTGTTATTTCGTTCTAACTGTATTGTGATAATATATATTAATATCAAAATACACGTGGAACGAATTTATATATCTACATACATAAATATATACGTATATATCACTATATATAAATAAAAATATTTTTAAAAATTATATATATATATATATATATATATATATATATATATATATATATATATATATATACACACACACATATATATATATATACACACACATACATACACACACACATACATATATATACGCACATATATACACACACACAGATTCACATACGTATATATACATATATTAATTCTACCTATTTATGTAATATTTTTACATAATTAGGTATCTTAATTACAATTAACGGGACCTGCCTGACAACCCATGCCGAAAGTAAAGGGAATTTAATTTGCTAGCAATATATTTAACCCTATAACTTTCCAAAACACCATAAAACCTGTACACGGGGGGTACTGTTTTACTCGGGAGACTTCGCTGAACACAAATATTAGTGTTTCAAAACAGTAAAGTGTATTACAACGATGATATCGCCAGTAAAAGTGACTTTTTTGCCTTTTTCATGCACAAACAGCACTTACACAGACAATATTATTGCTGTGATACTTTTTACTGTTTTGAAACACAAATATTTGTGTTCAGCGAAGTCTCCCGAGTACAACGGTACCCCTCATGTACAGGTTTTATGGTGTTTTCAAAAGTTACAGCGTCAAATGTAAGGCTTGCGTTTCATTTTTTTCACATTAAAATTCGCCAGATTGGTTACGGTGCCTTTGAGACCCTATGGTAGCCCAAGAATGAAAATTACCCCTATGATGGCATACCATTTGCAATAGTAGACAACCCAAGGTATTGCAAACAGGGTATGTCCAGTCTTTTTTAGTAGCCACTTAGTCACAAACACTGGCCAAAATTGGCATTTTTTGCATTTTTCACACAAACAGATACTAACGCTAACTTTGGCCAGTGTTTGTGACCAAATGGCTACTAAAAAAGACTGGACATACCCCATTTGCAATACCTTGGGTTGTCTACTATTGCAAATGGTATGCCATTATGGGTGTAAATTTCATTCCTGGGCTACTATACAGTCTCAAAGGCAACGTAACCAATCTGGCGAATTTCAATTTCAAATGTAACGTGCTATATTTGACCCTGTAACTTCCCAAAACGCCATAAAACCTGTACAAAGGGGGTACTGTTTTACACGTGAGACTTTGCTGAATACAAATATGTGTATTTTATTGCAGTAAAAGCAAACAGTATTATGACATTGACAGTTAAAATGTCATGTAGAACTAAAAAAAATAAAACTTATTTTCTCCCATTTTTTTCATATTAAATCATGTTTCATAGCTAAATATTTGATATTAAATGAAAGCCCTGTTACCCCTGAATAAAATTATATATAATAAGGGTGGGTGCATTTAATATGAAAGAGGTGAATTACGGTTGGACAGACATGTAGCGCAAATGCCAGGTTTTGTTTACATTTTGTTTCGTTAACAACGTGTACATTTGGTTCCGTCCTTAAGGGGATAATCACATCATACAGTAGAAAAAAAATAAACAAAATCAAATAAGATATAAACATGGTAATAAACAGAACCCATATAAATTGTTTAATACCGCTGAATCTCACTACATGTAGGTTCCCTCCTTAGAACCATGGCCAGCTTTCTTTGATCCTCAGAAAGATATGTATTGTTATATTCACATCACAATGTTTCTATCTAATTTTGTACTTACAGTTTTCACTAGTTTATTTACCAATATGTTTATTTGTATTGTGGTGTTAATTTAAATTTTAATGTGATATATTAGTTTTACTTTTTCTTTCAGTGATCAGCTTTGCTCTAACAATCTTTAGTAAACAGAGATTTTACTACAGTAATTTGCACTGGCTCTTAAATAGTTCTGAGCTCAGCAGAATGTTATTTTTTTTAAAATTCAGATGATTATGTAATCTTTTACATTGATGTTCGTGTGTATGGCTTTTCACATGAATTGCATGTGCTTACATTTTACCATTATCAGCCAATGCTATGCTTAACCAGTCAGGAATACGCCCCAAGACATCTATTTTCTTGAGAGTCACTCTCGACATACAACAAATCAATGAGGACTGTACCGACATTCACTAAATCATGGCTTCTAACTGTCAAGATTAGGGATCGACCGATATTGATTTTTTAGAGCCGATACCGATACCGATAATCTGCGAACTTTCAGGCCGATAGCCGATATCTTGCCGATATTCTGTACATTTACTATTTTGAATAAATAAACTAATTCGAAAGGTAAATGCACAAAATATACATGCCACATGTAGTGGATGAAGTGTGTTTAGACAGGGGAACTGTGTGTGTTTGTGTAGTGTGTGTGTGTGTGTGTGTAGTGGATGCAGGGTGTGTGTATAATGAATGTAGTGTGTATATAATGCAGTGTGTGTAGTGTGTATATAATGCAGTGTGTTTATGTAGTGTGTGTATGTATGTAATGCAGTGTGTGTTTGTGTAGTGTGTATGTAATGCAGTGTGTGTGTATGTGTAGTGTGTATGTAATGCAGTGTGTATGTAATGCAGTATGTGTACTGTGTTTGTGTAGTGTGTATGTAATGCAGTGTGTGTGCAGTGTAGTGTGTGCAGTGTGTGTCTGTAATGCAGTATGTGTTTGTGGTGTGTGTGTAGGTAATGCAGTGTGTGTGCCTGTGTAGTGTGTATGTAATGCAGTGTGTGTGTGTGTATGTAATGCAGTATGTGTGCAGTGTGTGTTTGTGTAGTGTGTGTGTGTTTGTGTAGTGATGTAATTTGTGTAATTTTTTATTTTAATATTTTTTTTAATATTTAAATGTTTTTTTTGTTTAGTCCCCCCCAGTGTGTGTTTGTGTAGTGTGTGTTTGTGTAGTGTGTATGTAATGCAGTATGTGTGTTGTGTGTGTGTGTGTGTTTGTGTAGTGATGTAATTTGTGTAATTTTTATTTTAATATTTTTTTTAATATTTAAATGTTTGGTTTTTTTTGTTTAGTCCCCCCTCCCTGCTTCTTACCAGGGAGGGGGATATAGTATCCCCTGGTGGTCCAGTGGCTTGTTAAGTACAGTGGTGGCTCAGCAGCAGCAAGCACTGACTTACCTTGCAAGCAGCTCCTACAGCTCCCTGTGTAAATCTCGCGGCTCTTAGTGCCGCGCGGAGCGTTGCCATGGTAACCCGTGGCAACGCTCTGCGGCCGCGGGTCTCGCGAGATTTACACAGAGAGCTGTAGGAGCTGCATGCAAGGTGGTAAGTCAGCGCTTGCTGCTGGCCCCCACAGGACCGCCGGGCTTGTAATGGGCCCGGCGGTCCTGTTATATATTATCGGCAATATCGGTATCTGAATTGGCCGATACCGATATTGCCGAAAATACCAAATATCGGCCAGACCGATAATCGGTCGATCCCTAGTCAAGATGCACACGGTGTCAGATTTTACTGACCGAGCATTTATTCTGACTTTAGTCCATTTATTTTGATTATTGGCAACATTTGCATTCAATATCTTTCTAAACTGATTACAGGGATGAATGTTTTTCAGGTGTTTTGGAGGGAAAAAAAAAAAAGGGAAGAAAAACTTGAGTTCTCCCACATGATTAATATGAATACTTGCAACCTTAGACAGCAAAGATAACCTGAAAACGTTTAGGAGAGCTCTCAACTTCTCGTTTGGACAGATTCTTAGGGTTAAGAAACCACAATCCTTGTCACTCTGAGAAGAAAGTAAACCAGCTATGAAGTTATTGACAGAAAGGTAAAAATAAAACCTCATAAAATACAGATGAGGAAGATTAGATTAGTTTAGACTGATTCTGACGAATGTTCGAAAAAAAAATAAAAAATGACTTGAGTAAGAAAATCTCAGTTAATGAAGATATATCCAATTTTCTGTCTCAGGACACGAACAGGGTAATACCCATTTTGGTCCTTGGGGGCTAAGCAACCCAGTTCATCCTAGTAGTCTATAATCCCATATGTATCAAAGCACATATAAGCATTGATTAGAAGAACCCATGATTGTGTTGAAAGTAACAAAGCTATGGACAGAATGGTCCCTGAACAGAAAAGGTTCCAACACCTGTATGTAACAACTTATTATTAGAACCCCTCAAGTTAGCTTTGCCAGTTGATGTAAATATTCTCAGCAGATGGGTCCAATGTTTAATATTTCTTCCAGGCAATGCAGACCCTGCCTACTCAACAAAGAGCTAGTCATTACCTGATGGATGATGCTGAAGCTAGCTTCTTATTCAAATGCTGAAGTTTGCTTCCTATTCACCCAGCTTCTTATATAGATTGGCTTCATGATTATGCAGCTTTGTTTTCATTAAAGTGATTACCTACTTAGACAGATTCAGTAAACTTCCAAAAAGTTCAATCTTGTTTGAGTTAATTGATATTGATTTAAAAAAATTGTCACCAAAGCTGACACATTAACAGCCATGCACTTCAATAGGAAATTCTGAATATGTAACAAAGCTTTTCACTTATGGGCTGATGTTCCCTTTTTGGAAATACAGTTAGTAAAGATTTGGGCATATGTCACCATTTTCCCCACTTCACAAAGCCCACAGGGCATTAAAATTATAAAATCCCAAACTTGTTAGGAAGGCCAGGTAGCAAAGCTTCTTCTATCTGTAGGTTTACTAAAAGGAGATCATGCCAAACTAATCTTATTGATTTTTTGATTGCATAACGAAAATAATATATCAGGGTGGAGCAGTAGACCTAGATTTCAGTAATGCTTTTTACACTGTTGCACATAGAAGGCTTATCAATAAACTGCAATCTTTAAGTTTGGATTCCAATATTGTTGAATGGGTAAGGCAGTGGCTGAGTGACAGGCAACAGAGGGTTGTAGGCAATGGAGTATATTCGAAGCACGGGCTTGTCACCACTGGGGTACCTCAGGGATGTGTACTTGGGCCCCATTCTCTTTAATACTTATATTAGTGATATTGCAGAAGGTCTTGATGGTAACGTATGTCTTTTTGCAGATGATACTAAGATATGTAACTGGGTTGATGTACCAGGAGGGATAAGCCAAATGGCAAATAATTAAGGTAAACTAGAAAAATGGTCTGAGTTGTGACAACTGACATTTAATGTGGATAAGTGCAAGATAATGCATCTTGGATGTAAAAACCCAAGGTCAGAGTACATAATATTTTATAGAGTCCTAACCTCAACACCTAAGGAAAAGGATTTAGGGGTGATTATTTCTGAGGACTTAAAGGTAGGCAGACAATGTAATAGAGCAGCAGGAAGAAGGATATTGACACTTTAGAGAGAGTTCAGAGAAGGGCTACTAAACTGGTTCATGGATTGCAGGATATAAAAACTTACAAGGAAAGGTTAAAGGAACATGCATAGCTTGGAGGAAAGACAAGACAGGGGTGATATGATAGAAACATTTAAATACATAAAAGGAATCAACACCAGAAAGGAGGAGACTATATTTAAAAGAAGAAAACTACCACAACAAGAGGACAGTCTTAAATTAGAGGGGCAAAGGTTTAAAAATATCAGAAAGTATTACTTTACTGAGACGGTAGTGGATGCATGGAATAGCCTTCCAGTTGAAGTGGTAGAGGTTAACACAGTGAAGGAGTTCAAGCATGCGTGGGATAGGCATAAGACTATCCTAACTATAAGATAAGGCCAGGGACTAATGAAAGTATTTAGAAAATTGTGCAGACTAGATGGGCAGAATGCTTCTTATCTGCTGTCACGTTCTAGGTTTCTATAGTTCACCTTAAATTTTAGTCAACAACTGCTTATTCATTTTTCATGGGTTGAGACAATCTAGTTTAAAAATTGTGAAATAGCACTTACACTTGTGATAGATTACCCAGTCACAATTAAAAGGTACAGTAAGCACCAAAGCCACTTCATTTTAATAAAATGGTTTCAGAGCAGAGATCCTTAAACCTGTATACCCTAGAGTGTTAAAACCACCATCTAGCCCCCCTGGGACCCTCATGCATATATATATATATATATATATATATTACACACATATATATATATATACATATACACACACACACACACATATATATCTATCTATCAAAATCTTACTGTATTCAAGCCTGAAGCTGTAACTCTGCATGCTGTTAGACGCAGAAAAACAAGCAGTCTGCTGACATCATTAGAAGTGGTGGCCTGATACAATCACAGTGCTTCCCCATAGGATTGGCTGAGACTGACAAAGAGGCATATCAGGGGCAGAGCCAGCATGATACAAACACAGCCCTGGCCAATCAGCATCTCCTCATAGAGATGAATTGAATCAATGTATCTCTACGAGGAAAGTTCAGTGTCTGCATTCAGAGGGAGGAGATAGAACGTTTGGATGCATTTTAGGCAGCCATGATCCAGAAAGGATCTCTAACAGCCATCTGAGGAGTGGCCAGTGAAGTTATCACTAGTCTGTAATGTAAACACTGCATTTTCTCTAAAAAGACAGTGTTTACAGCAAAAAGCCTGAAGGTAATGATTCTACTCACAAGAACAATTCAATAAGCTGTCGTTGTTCTGGTGACTATAGTGTCCCTTTAACCCCTTTTTCAGACAATAAGAAACAGCAATGTTTATATGTGTCTAAATCCATAACTCTAGTGGCATTTAGACTGAGTCACTAAATGGTTTTCTCACTGAAGACTTTACATTTCCAAAAGGTCTTCACTTTGGCATCATCATGACACCAAACACTACTAAAGTTTCTTAAAGAGAAACATTGGATTCAGTGTTTCTATATTACACATATAGAACTGGTGGAATGTGGCGATTGTTGCACGTGCACGGTTCTGATAACCATATGTGTATACTTGGTTGATTTTTTTTTTGGGGTGGCTGTTGCCCTAAATCGGCATCCATGTACTGCATTTCAACCACTTCCTGTTGAGGAGCCATTTTCTTTAAGCAAGCCTGCAGATAAGAAATAAGCTCTGTGTTTTCGTGAAAGGATAAGTTTGTAAGGAGACCATTCCCGTTTTGAATTTAGTAGTATATGTTTTAAATAATTTCAAGAACTGTTCCACGTTAGTTTGGTAGTATTTGTCTGCCTTCGTATTATATTTGCTAGTCTCTATTCTTTGATAAAGTTTTAACACACTTGTCAATATTGTGTGTACATTTTCATTTTCTTAACCCCTTCAGGACGGAGTCAATAGTGCACGTTCTGATCAAAACAAAACAAATTGGAATTTGCGCTATATGTCTGTTCAGACGTAATTCACCGCTGTCACATTAAGTGCACCCACACTTATTATATATCATTTTGTTCAGGAGAAACGGCTTTAATTTATCATTAACTATTCATATATGGAACATAATTTATTATTAATAAAATTTAAAAAAAAAAAACGTGAGAAAATAAGATTTTTTTTAAAATTTGTATTTCAGTCTGACATTTTAGCTGTGAATGTCAAAACTGCTAGGTTTTATTGCAAAAAAATGCACATGTTTGTAATCAGAGATGTCTCATGAGTACAACAGTAACCCCCATTAACAGGTTCTATGGTGTTTACTAACTTTCCAAAACACCATAAAACCTGTACATGGGGGGGTACTGTTATTCTCGGGACACTTCACTAAACACATATTAGTGTTTTAAAACAGTAAAACATATAACAACAATAATATAGTCCATAAAAGTGCAGTTCGTTTGTAAAAAAAATGCAAATAACTTCACTTTTACTTAAAATATCGCTGTAATACAATTTACCAGTTTGAAACACTAATATTTAAGTTTAGCGAAGTCTCCTGAGTAAAACAGTACTCCCTATGTACAGGTTTTATGGTGTCTTGGAGAGTTACAGGGTCAAATATAGTGCTAGAAAATTAAATTCTCTGCACTTTCTCCCTGTGTTGTCAGGCATGTCAATCAAATTTTAATTAAGTTAAAAGATTACTTAAATATACATGTATATTTTTATATATATGCATTTATAGGTATTTAAATTCTACGTGTATACTAATGTAATCTTTTATGTAATTATATGTATTTATCTATATATTTGCAGTTATTTGTATTTTATAGACATATATATAGAATGTCATTCTAAGTGTATTATGTTACACACACACACACACACACACATATATATATATATATATATATAACAAAATACAGTTGGAATGAAATTACATATGAATATATAATTTATATTAAATTTTGTTTCAATAATTTATTTATTATTGTAATTATACGTATATATATATATATATATATATATATTATGTGTTTATATCTATAATATATATTATATATATGTAACGTCATTCTAAGTTTATCTTAATACTAATATATGTACTTATATTAATATTAAAATACACTTTGTATGATGTTACATATATTATATATAAATACATTTCTATTTTATTTTATAACATGTTTAATGATTTTTTAATTTTCTTTTTACTTTCCAACCAGCAGGGGGACTGTCTGACATTTCAGACCGTCCCCCTGCTGGCAGATCCACAGCCAGCTATAGGGGGCCATGTGTTCGCTCTTTGAGAGCGATCACATGGCCCCCGGGGGCCTCATTTGCCGGGGGAGGACCCTCCAGAAGAAGAGCGCGGCGGATGTGAGTACCGCGGACCTCCAGGGACTCAAATCCGTTACGGCGTTCTATGCGGCAAGAAACGGCTTTAAAGACCACTTAATGCGGGACGGCATAGAACGCTGTAACGGCGTTAATGGGTTAAAGTAACAGTTTAGGCACCATAACAATTTGCTCTTACTGAAGCTATGGTGCTAGGAAGCAGCCTTGTACTACGGATACATTGTGAGGGAGAACAAGCACTCTATGAGAAGCATTGGATAGAACTGAGTTCACTAGTATGATCTCACAGAAAGAAAAGTGGATGTTGCAAAGGGACTGTACTAGCGGTCACTTTATACAACCTGCGGTTCAGTTTTGTAAATTGGGCTGTTTGCACGGATCCGCATCAAGTACAAATGCTCGGAGTTCAGCTTTATCTTCAGGAAGGAGACAGAGATATATCATACTTGAGTGTGGGTCTTGCATAAGTAGTGCAAAATTGATACAAGCAGTATGGAAGGCAGGCTCTTGGCTGCCTGACTTCCATCTTAGGTGTAAGCTACTCTCACCAATGAGAAAGGATGAATGGCAAGTTCTGCACCATAACCACTTCAAATATGTAATGGTGAATAGACCCTTTATGCACACAGCTACATTTGTATTTTGTTCTAAAAACATTCCAGTGGAAAAAGATATACGTTAAGATCTTTAATTAAATTGTAGATATAAAAGACTCCTCTTTGTGTTCTGTATTTCTGCCACCATCTACCAACCTAGGTCAAGCTGTGATTGTAATCCATAGCAAAGCCAAACACATTTTAATAACATTATGCTATTTTACCATTTATTTGGATCACAGCCTTTAACATGAAGATCGCCTTAGTGGCACGCTGCTTAAAATGCACCTTCATGTGAAAATACCATTGCTTCCTTATAATGGGGGCGAAGGTAGAATCGATAATACGGGAAAAGCATGTCATACACAGCTGTACATAGGCCGCATTTCCATTCAAACCACCGAAGGCCTCTCTGGCGCACTCACTCCCTCCAGGAAGCAGTGTGCCGCTCGGATGAATGGGGGGATAGTTACAGGATCTGCGAGTTACCGGGTACATTTACACGATGACCTTGGAGCAGTGACTGGTCTAATAAGGCTTCCCGCGGTTTATATTAATGGAGCACAGTATTACTCACTGCACACAGCCCCGGGCCTCCATACCGTGTGTACAGCACGCACACCGACACAGCCCCTCATACCGTGTGTACAGCTCGCACACAGCCCCTCATACCGTGTGTACAGCTCGCACACCGACACAGCCCCTCATACCGTGTGTACAGCACGCACACAGCCCCTCATACCGTGTGTACAGCACGCACACAGCCCCTCATACCGTGTGTACAGCACGGACACAGCCCCTCATACCGTGTGTACAGCTCGCACACAGCCCCTCATACCGTGTGTACAGCTCGCACACAGCCCCTCATACCGTGTGTACAGCTCGCACACAGCCCCTCATACCGTGTGTACAGCTCGCACACAGCCCCTCATACCGTGTGTACAGCTCGCACACAGCCCCTCATACCGTGTGTACAGCTCGCACACAGCCCCTCATACCGTGTGTACAGCACGCACACAGCCCCTCATACCGTGTGTGCGCCGACCCCGCATCATCAGCCCTCATGTAATCGTGTGTACAGCTCGCACACAGCCCTCATACCAGGTGCACAGCCTCGCAATATCAGCCCCTCATACCGTGTGTACAGCCTCGCACACAGCTCCCTCATACCGTGTGTACAGCTCCGCACACAGCCCCTCATACCGTGTGTGTACAGCTCCGCACACAGCCCCTCATACCGTGTGTACAGCCCGCACACAGCCCCTCATACCGTGTGTACAGCACGCACACCGACACAGCCCCTCATACCGTGTGTACAGCACGCACACAGCCCCTCATACCGTGTGTACAGCACGCACACCGACACAGCCCCTCATACCGTGTGTACAGCACGCACACAGCCCCTCATACCGTGTGTACAGCACGCACACAGCCCCTCATACCGTGTGTACAGCACGCACACAGCCCCTCATACCGTGTGTACAGCACGCACACAGCCCCTCATACCGTGTGTACAGCACGCACACAGCCCCTCATACCGTGTGTACAGCTCGCACACAGCCCCTCATACCGTGTGTACAGCTCGCACACAGCCCCACATACCGTGTGTACAGCACGCACACAGCCCCTCATACCGTGTGTACAGCTCGCACACAGCCCCTCATACCGTGTGTACAGCACGCACACAGCCCCTCATACCGTGTGTACAGCACGCACACAGCCCCTCATACCGTGTGTACAGCACGCACACAGCCCCTCATACCGTGTGTACAGCACGCACACAGCCCCTCATACCGTGTGTACAGCACGCACACCGACACAGCGGCCATGCCCCACAGCCAGCACTCCATTATTATTTTTATTCTAAATATAACGAGGAACCGAACTCACCTGCTTCCTTGCCGACCGGGAGCACGAGCTCTTCACCGTTTCCAACCTCGTCCGCCATTTTCCTTCACAGCCACAGAGAAAGCGCGGTTCCAGCGACACACGAGACGCAGAGCTTCTCACCCACACACAGAGAGAGAGCGCGAGAGAGACAGACAGGCCGCGCGGGGATCGCGAGAGCAGGGCTTTCACCACAAATCTCGCGATAACCAGGCGGGAGGAGCGCTTCTGGGTGCTAACGTCGCGAAAAATCCGCCGAGAGGGGGCGCGAGTGCGAATCTCGCGAGACCAAACTCGAGATCGCTCCGAACGTCGTGAGACCGAACGTGAACTCGAGAGGGGCTCCGAACGGAAATCTCGCGAGACTGAACGCGAACTAGAGATTCTTCGAACGCAAAGCTGGCGAGACGGGAACTGAGTCCGGGGAGCTGGGATGAGAGGCGAACTGTAAGCACCGAACACAAACTATGGTATGACTGTACGTATGGGGGGGGGGGTCACGGGTGAGCTAATAGCTATTAACTAACAGCGGTAGTCACTAACGTGAGAATTCAGAGGGACTTTTAAAGGGACAGTATAGGCACCAAAACAACTTTAGCTTATTGAAGCAGTTTTGGTGTATAGATCATGTCCCTGCAATTTCACTGCTCTATTCACTGCCATTTAGGAGTTAAATCACTTTGTTTATACAGCCCTAACCACACCTCCCCTGGCAGTGACTGACACAGCTGGCATAAAAAAAGGTTTGATTTTTCAATCAGATGTTAACTTGCTTTATAAGTTTTTTCTCTCCTACTCTGTACATTGAACTTTAAAGGGACACTATCGTTACCCAGACTACTTCAGCTCATTGAAATGGTCTGGGTGCAGTGTCCCTTGAATTTCCAGAGAACCCAGACAACCACTGGAGGCGCTTCCTGGCTGTTAATGGGCGTCTGGTTCGGTAACTGACACTAGATGTCTTTGCGCTCTGCATGAGGACATCCAGCATCCGCTATTTCCCCATAGGAAAGCATTGATTTAATGTGTTCCTATGGGGAGGGCCTAATGTGTGCGCGGGGCACTTAGCGCCCCCTTGTCAGTAACATTGGAGAAGGCCGAGGGACGACCCAGCGCCAAGGGACATTGGATCTAGGATACGTGTCTGTTAGTCTACCCATTGTGCAGCGCTACGGAGCTTGTTGGCACTTTATAAATAATAATAAATAAAGGATTTTTAACGCTTTATTTACCAATGCGATGGGGGTGGACAGAGGGAGCTATAGTGCCAGGAATACAGTTTTGTATTCTACTATATACTTTATACCAGCGGTTCCCAAAGTGTGTATTGTGACCCACTGGGTACTTAGTGGGTACTTAGTCTGCCCAGCTGCTCCAGTCTGCAGCTCTGCTGGGTGCAGAGCTGCAGGCCGTGTGATAAAAGTCTCACAAGCACCCGGAGCGTTACCATGGCAAAACTGGGAGCTTGCAAGATTTCTATCACACGGTCTGCAGCTCTGCACCCGGCGGAACTGCAGACCGGAGAGGTAACCCACCGGACCACCAGGGAGACACTGGACCACCAGGGAATTTAATAAAGGTAAGACAAAGCCCCCAGACCCTGCCCCCTCACTCCCTGCCCCCCAATGTAAGCCCTTCTCTCCCCTCTCCCTGCCCCCCCACTGTAGACCTCTCTCTCTCTGCCTCGCCCCCACACTGTAACCCTTTCTCCCCCTGCCCGCCCACTGTAACCCTTTCTCACCCTGCCCTCACACTGCCACCCTGTAACTGAGTAGACTTGCCGATCGGGCCTCAGATGAACTAACGTTCCAAAACAGGTCTGAGGGCCGAACACATGGAGTACATGCTTTTTATAGAACTATAACTCCTCCCATTAATAGCTCCACCCGCACATACCCTTAACCAATTAACCAATCAGTGGACAGGATTTGGATTTCCTTATATGGGCAGACCTCATGGCTCATCCGAAACAAAGGAGAAAGGAGTGTGATTTCAGTTCCTGCATTCCTGCACATGCTCATTACATTGATGACAGTATCTTAGCTACGTGTAACTAACTAACTGATACAACATACACATATGCCACGTGGAGGTCTCGGCCTACTAAATTTACATTTCACCGACATTCCATCACATTCCCCCCTTTGATGCCTCTGATACAAAATTATTCCAGATGCATCACCAATCATAGTTTACCAACACCTCTTAAGTAGTCATTGGACCAGAACAGATCTTAGCATCATCACAAACTCCTTCAGCATTCCTCATCCTGAATATGTTCTCTTTGGGCTAGGGATTCATATCTATAGACAGCCATTACATGATAGAAAAACAGAAAAAAGAGCGTATATATATAAAAGGTAAATAGTAAAGGTAACTTTAAAAGTATACTTTAATATAAACAAACAGAATAAGGAATAAAAAATATATATATATATATATATATATATTATTCCTTATTCTGTTTGTTTATATTAAAGTATACTTTTAAAGTTACCTTTAATATTTACTATTTTTTATTTCCTGGATCCTGTATATCCTTGGTGGGGATTATACCACCCAAGCTGTTTATACCAGAGCAGGCCATATGCTCTAGAAAGTGTAAGTACAATACTATTTACTATCCATTATATTATTGGTACTTACTTCACCATATTGCTGCTATTTTTCTTTTATACCAACTACGCTCATTGCACTTTGAAAATATTCGTGGCAACTTCCACAAATCCAAAGACGGGGATTGTACCGTCCAGGCGCTTCACAGCAGAGCTCTGTTATAGCTCATCCAAATGTGAGTGGACTGTACATAGTCATAAATCACCTATCTTTAAGATAAAATGTACTGTATTGCACTATTATTTTTTATCTTAATTCTTTTCCGAGGTTACGATTATTTGGAATATTCAAGGATACATGTATGTATTTTTCACATATATATACTAGGCGCGGTATACGCTCTTTTTTCTGTTTTTCTATCACTCACTTACAGGGTTGGGGAATCCTTGTCTGTATACTGCTGCCTGACCACTATAGTGAGTGCCTATTATTTTTCTTTTTCCAGCCATTACATGAGCAGCTGTCTTTCTTTCTATAGTACTCTTTATGATACTACGTATAGATCTGACCACTAATGGAATTAGGCAGGGCAGAAAGAGACATAAGAATATAATAAATACTACTCCTCCTACGAACGCCTTAATCCCTCCAAGCTGCTCATACCAACTTCCAAACCAACTACTAGGATTATACCCATTCCAGACCTGAGTAGGTACATGCGTCAGTTTAACCATGTGGCTTGTAAGTTCAGCCACTGCCCGCCCTTCATCATCTATGTGCAAACAACAGTTGCTGAGATTAAACTTTCCGCATACACCTCCCTCTACTGCTAATAGGTAGTCCAGAGCTAATCTATTTTGATAGATTGCTGATCTCATCCAAGTATTTTGCTTAGCTAGAAGATTAAGTGCTTGAGCTGTCTCATTAGTGATAATCTCAACCACCGCCTGTAGTCTTATAATACGGTTGAGCATATATATTGGGGTTCTATATCCATAGGTACCATCTTCTGCCCAAGTAGCAGGTCCATAATAATTAATAATGCGTTGGGGAGGCCACTCATCATCTTCCCAGCTACCTATATTCAAGGATGCTCGCTTCTTTTTATGATTTACATCATAAACCTTAACTCCCAAGGTCTCTCCTGTCTCAATTGGCAACAAGAAGAAGGATGGCTTGAGCATACCTAATACACATGCCCTTTCCCAATCCTGTGGTAATTCTAAATATGCTTTCTTACCACAGATCCAATATAAATTCGCTGGGGCTTTCCAATTGGATGTAGCAGTTAAGTCAAACCATACCTCTTTTAAAGGGGTGTAATTGGCAAACGGATTAGTAGGCTCTGAGACATTTGAAGCTGACCACCAAGTAGTATCTTTAGTATCGGCATTATAGGCTTTCTGTCCTAGACATATTAACTCGCCAACAGGTGTTGTATACAATGGCCCTTTCCTGGCTAAACATACATGACCTATAATAGAGGTTTTTAACCGCCACTCTGATTTACCTCTAGTACTTACTTGATGATCAGACTGAGAAAGTATTTGTTGTTCATCTGTCTCAGAACCAGGATACCATACTTCCTTTGCCTCCCGTGGTGACTGGTCTCCCATATTAGTACCTCCACATACAAAGCAATTAGTTACATTAAGACTACCTGCAATACTCTCAGCCAAATCAATAAATAGGTTCTTAACATTATGGGGAATTTTATCCTCAACACTCATCTCCTCATAGAAGGAATGAAAAACCTGATGAGTTTGAGTTGCTATCGTCTCAGTTTCAAGTCCTACACATATTATGGTCCCTGGATCTACCCCTGTGCCATATATTTGGAACCCAAATAGATTTCCAAACTTATCAATAAAATGTTGTGGATTAGAGATGGTCATATTGACAGGATTACATTCCATAGACTTACAGTGTGGTGTAGTGGGCAACCTTTGGATAATCATATCTTGATCCACTGTTTTTCCCCAGGTCGCCCACCCTACACAAGACCAATATGGACAAAAATTAAAATCCCTATTTGGGCAATCAGGATCAGTAGATATTTTACTGGGACATAAATATTTATCATTAAACCCATAAGTTCGTTCCCATTTAAGATTACCACATACATTCCAAAGTTTTCCACTACCAGAGATCGCCTTACATGCATCAAATAGTAGAATGCCCGTAAAATGGATGGTATTTATCACAGTCCTATTTATCAAGGTCCCCTGGGAGTTACTGTTCCGAATTACCAACCAAATTGTACAAGGTTGGAATTGGGGATCAAAACATTTAGGCTCTCCTGATATTGACAGTCTATGAATACCAGTCAAAGGTTACCTCCTTTTACAGAGGAGTGTGTATAGTACAGTGCTTTAAAACAAGTGAAGTGATTTGTAGGCTGCTCAATACACTTAAGTGAAAATATCCTCTATTTCACAAAATACAGTTGAAGTTATTGGTGTGGTTTAAGCTATAAACAAACTTATCCCAATAAGTGGAGCGCTC